TTCCCTTCCGCTTTCGACACCATCACCGTGTTTGATAGCCATTCGGGGAACTGAATCTCCTTAATATGTCGTGCTCCCAACAGCTTCTCGACCTCCTGCTCGATAATCTTATCCATCTCTGCTCCATGGTGCCTTCTCTTTTGCTTCACCGGCCTCACGCTGAGGTCGATGTTTAGCCGATGCTCGATCACCTCCGCACTTATTCCCGTTAACTCCTCTGCCGTATAGGCAAAAATATCTGCGAACTCCCTAACCAACTGGATCAACCTCGACCGAACAGGTTCTCCCAAATCCTTTCCTATCCTGAACTTTCTCCTTTCACACCCCTCGATCATCTGAACCTCCTCAATTTCTTCCCCAGGTTGGATATCCAATTTCTCCTTGCCCTTCTCCACTTTTTGCCTGTCCTCCCTCGACCTTGATCCCCCTGGTCGATTAATCTCTTCCCCTTTTGACTCGGCCTGCCTTTTCGCCAATTGTTTGTTATTGCTGACTGTCGTTTGATAGCAACTTCTCGAAGTGAGCTGATCTCCGGCAATCTCCCCTACGTTTTCGCCCACCGGATACTTGATCGTCATGTGGTACGTGGATACGACCGCCTGGAATGCGTTCAAGCTCGTTCGTCCCATGATGATGTTATAGGACGACTCAGCGCCTACGACCACAAATCTCACCATGCGCACCTTTCTCAACTCTCCTGATCCTAATGCCACGGGCAGGCTGACTTCTCCCATCGGCATAACCTCTCCCCCATTAAAGCCGTAAAGCACCGTGGTTACCGGTTTCAGCTCCATATTCAGCTCCCTGTTGATCTGCACAAAACAGTCGTAGAACATCACATCTACCGAACTCCCAGTACTAATGAACACCCTCTTCACATCGAAGCCTGCGACCTCCGCGGTTATCACCAAGGCATCATTGTGCGGCAGGACCCCTCCCTCGACATCCTCCGCCTTAAAACTTATCACCGGCATGCGGGCCGCAATACTCACCTCCTCCCTCTTCCTCTTCATTGCTCGAACGTGGCCTTTCCTCGCATTGTTCGAGTCCCCGTCCGTCGGTCCTCCTGAAATCATATATATCGTGCCTTTTTTTACTTGGCCTCCATCCCCTTCTCTCTCCCGCTCTCTACTTCTTCGCCCTCTTTTCCCTTCATCTCTTTTTTGACCATCTCGACCACCTCGCGCCTCCTCATCATCATCTTCCTCGCTCCTCTCTACCGAGTCCTCCCGACACCTTCTCTTCTCCTTTCTCCTCCCCTTATCCTGATAGACAAACTCTTTGAGATGCCCTGCTCGAATAAGGCGCTCAATTTCGTCCTTGAGATGCCGACAATCCTCAGTAGTATGGCCATAGTCTTTGTGGAAGCGGTAATATCTCCTCGACTTCGGTTGGGTGGGCCCCTCGAACCTCGACCTTGCCCACGTCACGTCTTTCCCATCTATCCCTTTCTCCATAGCCATCAGAATCTCGGCTACCTTTGCGTTCAACGGGGTGTAATCATGGAATCTTTTCCCTCCAGAGATAGGTCGGTCCTTCCACCTGTCCTCTCGCCCTCGATCTTGCTTAGCTCGCCCCTCTCTCCTGGGCGAGGCTTTCCTTTTGGGCGAGACTGCTTTCTCCTTCCTCGACTCCCCTCGACCTTACTCCTCTAGTTTGGCTAACTCCGCCTCAGTCTTCTCGAGATTGATATATTTCCTGCACCTCCTCAATACTTCATCATACGTGTGGGCAGGGGTCTTAGCCAGAGAAGTCCGACACGGTCCTGCCCGCAAACTCCTTATCAGCCCTCCCGCCTTGACCTCGTCGACCGCCGATGGAATCTCCAAACAAGCCTGATTGTATCGAGCGACATACTTACGCAGTGACTCCTTCTCGCCTTGTCTCATCGCCATCAATGTCAAATACGTTTTCTCCTGAGCCACCGCGCTCGAATATTGATTTGTCAATTTTTCCGCAAAATCCTCAAAGTTCACTATCGAGCCTGGGGGGAGCTGTTGAAACCAGTCGAGCGCCCCTCCCCTAAGGGTCGATAAAAAGGCCCTGCAACTAACAGGGTCGGTATATCCGTGCAACACATCCATATTTTCAAATGTCCTCACGTGTCTCGATGGGTCAGAAGTCCCATCGAACACCAAGTTAGTATCCTTGTAATTATTTGGCAAGGGTGCTGCCAGTATGTCCGCCGAGAACGGGTGTCCTCGAGCGCGCCTCTCTGCTCGACCATCCACCTTAGCCTGCAATTGGCGCAGCTGTTCCGCCATCCTCTCCATCTCCCGGTCATGTGTGGGCCCGCCTCCGCCATAGCTGGATTCATCCTCCTCCGCGTTTTGGCGTGACCCTGCAATAGTGTTTGGCATCGTCGTAGCCCGAGAGAGACTGTTTGTGACTTGTTGAACCGCCTGCGCGGCCGCCTCCGCCACCATTTGTTGCACCTCCTGCCTGGTCATTATCACCTGCAGTTCAGGGGCCTGAACCACCGCTCGCGGCGGTGCTCCTCCTTGGGCCACCGCTCTTTCTGGTTGCGTCCCCATTCCTCCCGGTTGCGCCACCGTCTCTCCCAGTTGCGCTCCCCCTCCTCCTGGCTGCGCTGCCGTTGAGCTGCGTGGCGGTGGTGGTGGTGGCATCGTCGCTGCGTCCGCTGCGCGGGCCTCGTGAGCACGGTTGGGGCCAGCGTCTCCTTCGGGAATCGCCGTTGTCATTCCCACACCTTGGAGCTCAGGCATGGGAGTGATCGGCGTCTGTGATGGACCAGAAAAACCCGGGGGAGGACCCTGTCCCAATGGTCTGGTCGTTGTCCAAGCATCATCGAATGTTGACTGTAAATTTTTGGGAATTCCGTCCGCCATAGCTGAGCTTCAAGCACACCTTTTCAAACGAAAGACCCACAGACGACGCCAAATGGTAACACAAAACTCCTCGACTGGCTGGAACTTGAGTAATCGCCTTCCTTCTCGCCGGTTGAACGTCGTGCACCTACAAAGAACTCCCACACCGGAGGGGTTTTCCGGTGAAGAGCCTCCGAAGCTTAAGTCAGTGTATATTCAATCAATTCTCAAGAGTAAGTAGTAGAATGATCGTGTTGAAGAAGAAAGGCTCACCCCCTTTATATATGCGTGAGATACCTGACCTAGGGCTGCCCGGATTTGATGAGCTGTCTGCCCTAACTGCCCGTCCGTACACACCAAACGCATGTGTCAGAGGTAACCGTCGCCACTATCGCCTGCACCAATCCTTTTTGGGCGCGTGTCCTCCTGCACATGGGGTAGGCTGTCAGAGGTGGTTATCGCTATTCACCACTGCCTTCTCGACACGTGTCCCCCCACACATGGGGTAAATATTCTCCTGGAATTCTGTTAGAGGCTTCCTTCACGCTCCTATGACTAGGCCAAACAGCGTGGTATTAAGTCCTCGAAGTGATCGACCTGTTGAGGTCGAATAGGTTGCTCGATCATGCATCTGGTCGAAGGATAGTTTGGTCGACAGTCTTGCTCGGTCGACTTGTTGACTGCTCGATTTCTTTGGCTTCCTCATAATACGACCTCCTCGACCGGTCAGGAGATCGGCTCAGCCTTGTGGGTATAATATCCCATATCATGGGTATTGATACAAATTATATATTGTCAAACGTAAAACTGCAATTATTTACAAAAAGTGTAGGATGTCTGTAAATTGGCCAAAAAATGAGTGGGCAAACGAACTATAATTGGGGTAAAAGTTCAGGGAAATGACCGTCTCGACAAGAAGAATCCAACGATAGATCATCCACTTGAAACCAATATCAAACGGCTATCGAATTAGACCTAAAAGGAAACGACGAACTTTATACTGTCACTAATGATTAGTGTACCTTATTTGATGAGTTTTTCAAATTAATGTACAAAGTTTGATGTCTACTAAAAATGTGTACTTTTGTTGAATAAGACAAATATAGTGGACTAAAAATGAAATCATGCCCGATTCTCAAACATACCCTTTAAGCTTTTCAATTTACAAAAAGTGATTTGTAAGGATATAAACTCCACCCTTTCTTTTTCCCTTATCTTTTTCTCAATTTACAAGAGGATTGTCGAGGAAAGCCGCTTCATACGTCTGCCAAGTACCCAACTGCCACCTGCATCTATGTACAAATTAATACTGTTTATTGTTATCCGGTCAAGAAAATATCCTTTGTCAAGTTACTTTCAAAATGAAGCACATACCATATATGTGTGATGAGTGTTGTACACATATTTCTCTTCATTATAGTTACTTCAAAGGGCTGGCAAATACTCCTCGCCCACTTGGCCATACTCCCAGCCACCTGTGTTCCCCGGAAAGTGATTTTTGCATTGAATTGATTGTATGTTCGAGTTAATCGATTACAAGGACGACGGCGACTTTTGTAAGAGGAAGAAGATTTTTTGGTAAAACGTGCATTCTATGAGGCCACGACACGCATGAATGTTTTGTTTGGGATTCCAGCGTGTCCCACGGCATTGAATTCCTCTTGCGATGTTCAAGGTTAATCGTATATGGAAAACTCACGTTCAACATAATTTCATTCAACAATTTGAACAAACACAATCGATCTTGTGTTGATGCGATTTTGTGATTATTGAGGCTGCAAAAGGAAACTTGCAGTTCGATTCGATTTTATTCAGATGAATTCTTCGTAAGAAAAAAAAAAACAATATTGAATTTAAAAATACGATTCAATTCATAATGAAGAGAAAAACCACAACAAGCGTGTTTTCGAAGTGTTCATCGCCACTATTCAGCAATAAAAGTTTGAGTTGAACATCACACAGAGATGCCCTGCTGATAAAGGCTTCAAACTTAGTGAACTGAATAAGAGCCACATGTCCACACATAATCCTCAAAACAGAAGCTAACAATGGCACGGCCATTGGATATCATATATTGATCGACTCGAAATCGAGACAAAGCATTTAATAAAAAATATTATATTAGATAGCTCGAAGAATGAACTTTGCATACACTTCCATGGACAGCCATCATCACCACTGTTGACCCTGAGGAGGAGGAGAGTTGTTCACGCGTGGAAGAGGTTCCCTAGGCCTTGCATACTCTGCGAAAATAACCCAACCATCCAAAAACTACAAAA